TGAGGTTATTTTATTTATTTAGCGTATGGCTTACATCACAGTATCTTAAGTTATAGGACACAGAATGGTATAAACAACAAAAAAAATGTATATAAAAAAACTGCATAAACAACAAAAAAATATGTATATAAAAAAACTGCATAAACAAAGAAAAAAAACATACCCAACAAAAAAAATAGGCTAATTCGTCTCATAAACAGATATCCAGTCGTTGTATATAATCAATTGCCTCCTGAGTAGCCATAAGGAAATCCTCTGAGTTGCCCATATATGCTCTTATTGGGCAGTCTTGCACTATATGTTTGACAGTCTGCCTGTCAGCTCCACAGTCGCATGCGGCTGAAGGGACTTTTCCCCACCTATTTAGAGAGTCGGCACATCTTCCGCAGTTAGTTCTGATGCGGTTAAGAGTTGTCCATGTTCGACGGAGAAGGTCGCATCCTGCAATTATTATTAATAACGTACGGTAGACCATGGTACATTGGAGCTGCCTCATTTTCCCATTTCTCTCTCCATCGCTCATTTATATCAAAATTATTTTGGTGCAGCTCATGTGCGGTCTTCAATGGAGGGTGTCTTGATCTTAGTCGATTTCCCTGGATATGTGGTACGTCATCATGAACCTGCAGCTGAGGGTTATTCATTATTTTATTAAACTCTCTGACCAAGGCATGTTCTCGGCGCAAATTGGGAGGAGCTATGTTGCTAAGAGTGGGCAGCCATATTGTAGGTGTTGGTCGAATTGTCCCTGATACAGTGCGCATAGTTTGGTTTAATTGAGTATCGACCATACGGGTGTGTTTGCTATTAAGCCACACTGGAGCACAGTATTCTGCTACAGCATACATATGTGAGGTAGGGGGCTGAAACTCGGATTGTAGATAGAGCCCCATCTTTTTATTATGTTTGAACGATGTTTCCTGCGCTACAAAATCCAATTATCAATGAATCAAATCAAAAAGTCGTCCGATTAAAGGTTGATTCTCACTATACCTTCCGTTTCCATTCCATATCCACTCCGTATCCGTTCCATACTTTTTATTGTACAATTTATATCATTACCAAAGTTTTATCTTAAAAATTTGTATCTTTTGAAAAAGGGAATAGATTTAATTAAGAGGTGAAAGAATAAATAAATATCAGCAAAATGTTAACAAAGGTGGTACAAATGTAAGAACTTGCCAACGCTGTTTCCGATACGCTTCAGTCCGTCCGCGAAAAAAATGTATGGAAGGAAAGGATATGGAACGGAAAGGAAACGGAACGGATAGTGTGCATTGTCCTATTTTTTTACATGATCTAATATTTTATGTAAACGGAAGGGAAACGGAACGTAGCTGATACGGAAGGTATAGTGAGAAGAGAATCAACCTTTAAATGGAATTTTGTATGTCGATAGATTGGACCAAAGCCAACTTGACCGTGTACGATTCGTATCACTGTGACAGTTTTGACGTAAGAAACGTCAAAAGTTGATATGTTGTCCGATCGCGACCAAATTTAGTGGGTAGGCTATGTGAGCATTGTGAGCGACGATGCACGCGGATCCACCCTGCAAAGTTTGATACGACGTTTTGTTTACATCTTCATCAGAGTAGGACTAACGATTTGATGTTGAAGAAAAATGTGGATCGATTTCAGCATAATTGGGCTACAAGATAATGCCTCGACGTTTCGAACCGATGTCCCTAAATGGCCAAAATCATTAGGATTTTTCTTAATTATGGGTCGATTGGAACCAAACTCGGTACGTGGATAGAGGTACCCGAATGGATTCCTCAGACGGACATACAAAAGTAAGAATGTATGTAGGCGCACATAAAAAGTATTAAAAATAAAAGGGCAAAAACTAAATACTCCGGACCAACGGGCACCTACCCCAGTATCCTTCAGGCAGAAATACGCTATCGAAAGATGCGTACAATTTATCTTAGATAGGAACTATCGAAAACAGGAAATTGCCATTTTATCCGATAGTCAAGCAGCACTAAACGCGATCAACTCAGTAATCATCAATTCGATGTTGGTCAAAGAATGCCTAGAGAAGCTTAACAAATTAGGCAAAGAAAATAAAGTCCTCCAACTCTGGGTGCCTGCTCATCAAGGGATAGGAATGAAAAAGCAAATGATCTAGCTAGAAAAAAAGCGAAAACTTCACTAACTGGATCAGAACCGTTCTGTTTTCCAAACAGAAACCAACTGAAATCTAAACTGATAACTCGAAAAAGTTCCTCAGAACTTACGATCGAGAAAAATCAAAGGTTTTCCTTGATTTAAGTAAAAAAAATCTTCGGATTGTCACGGGATTTCTAACAGGACACTGTCTCCTCAACGAACACCTCAGTAGGCTGAAGCTGAGAAACAACGGCCAATGTAGATTCTGTAAGATCACATGGGGAAACACCAGAACACCTTATCACTGAGTGCGCCGAGACGACGACCATTCGTGCCATGAACTTTGGTACCGCTGATGTCGAGGATGGAGAGCTGGCCTCTTTGGAACCGTCTCAGATACAGGCTTTTGTTAAAGCCCAGAGACTGTATGATGAGTTATAACTCATTATAAGTCAATAAAGGGTACACAATAGATCTGTAAGGTCGCGGTGATTAACTCCCCTCCTAAACATTCTACATTCTACATTCTACATACGCACAGAATGCACACACAATTTTTTTTTAATACTCTGTATTCACTGTTTTTAAAGGCCAATTGCAATTTCCTAAATAAAATTTTGCTAAAACTCACTGAAGTTTTATGTACTGATATAAGAAAGAAAAAATCAAGTCATCAAGTAGTTAGTCATCGTTATAGAGTTTCTTCTTAAAATTTAAATGTAAAATGGAATTCAATCATCTTTTTTCGCTCTCTCCCAGAACAAGAAGAAAAACAGGAATAAGTTTTCAATAATTTGACGTGGTTAAACGGCTGCCTAGTTAATTCGATTTCCAGAAGGAATATCCAAAAATGCCCATTTTCCGATTTTAAATGCGGAAAAGTTGAGAAATTTCTTGGGTTATTTTCTCGACGGTGGGCGACGTTTGCGACAACGGTAGTTCGTTCAGCTTCTGTTTACAGAAATGAAGATAAATGTGCAGTTAAGTTTATCTAGATAACATTAATAAATCTAACGCTGTTGTTCAAACACGAAATTATAGTAAATAAAATTATCATTTTCAACAGAAGATATGTCTAATTTAAAAAAAAAACCAGAGAGTTCCAATCTTCATTTTTCCTAAAAAAAATAAATATTTTATCATTGAATTATAAAGTCATTCATTTTTTTTCTAATTTTGATTCATGATAAAAGTCTCTATATTCAAACAATTGACTACACAATAATTATAAGTAAACTAGTCAAAACGGAAGTATCTCTTTATTGATTTTCTCAAGAATTAATAGGTCTAGATTTCCGGAATTTGGAAAAATGTTATGTATAATAGATTTTAAGTTTGATAAATCATACAGGTTTTACAGTATGAGTGACATGAGTTCACAGGAGAAGATTCCAGTATTTCGTAATGAATACTGTAAAGTTAATTGTGGATGAATAACGTACAGGGTGTTCCACTAAGAATAGCTCTCGGCTGTATCTCGGAAAGTATTAGCCGTAGCGGCTGCGGAAAAAAATATTTATAACTAAAGAGGCTATGGGAAATTGCTGGAAATTATTTTCAAGTTTGTAGAACGACCGCTAGGGGGCGCAACTGCAACAGAAAATAAGAAAATTGAGTTTTTACAAAATTTTGCCTAGATAAGGTGTACTGTAAGTAAGAGCTTCATACTCTTCAGTAAATTTTGAATATTTTTTGTTAGAACCATTTTTCCGGGTCCGTTACAGTAGCCCCCCCCCCTTGTTGTCCAAACTCTTTAATATTTTAGCACTGTATTGCACCCACCTAGCACTACCTAGCACCCAACTTACAGAGCTAGCACCACAACCCCTAGTGAATTACAGGACATTTTTACCGGGGGGCTAATGTAACGCTCCCCCCCCGGTTGATTTTTTCCCTTAAAACTTTAGCACTCTATTGCACCCACCTAGCACTACCTAGCACCCAATTTACAGAGCTAGTACTTTTCTTGCTAGTACTCTTTTATTTCATGAGCTTTTCACAGAAAAGCTCATAAAAGAAAACGCCTTGCGTGACCATCTTTTGATGCGTGTCGAATACTCGTCAGCGAGTAATGGCAGTATGTACATATGTACAGGGTGGCGCCTCTCATACGACGCGGAGGCTCCAAGAAGAACGGTAGTTTATATCAAAATGAAATGTTAGCAGCATAATAATATGTAGGTTAACCGAAAGCATCTTTTAAAACATAGAGAGTTCTAAAGGGTGTTTCCAAAAAAAGTGACATATCAAAGTTGTGTTTTTTTTTGTAATGTATCATCCTATATATTACTCTATTGAATATCGGAATAATATACTGGGTGTTCCATTTGAAATAAAGGAGTAATTTGCTTTTAAAAGTGACCAAAGTTTAATATTATTTTTCCCCCCTGGATAACTTTTTAGGTTAAATTTTAATTTTGTTTAACATATAATGAATATTTTAACGAAATATCAGACTATACAAGATAAATTCCAATTTAGGTATGTAGCTTCATTTTTAGAAAATGTTAAATATGTCAAAAACCTTACATTTTAGTCATATACTTTTTTAATAAAACACACCTTTATTTTTCTCCTAGAATCCAAAAATCAATTATTATACAGGGTGTTTCATTACAAAAAACACAACTTTGATGTGTAACTTTTTTTGGGACACCATGTAGAACTCTCTATATTTTTAAAAAATGCTATAAATTAACCTACATATTATGCTACCAAAATTTCATTTTGATATAAACGACCGCTCTCCTTTGAGCCTCCGCGCCATGAGAGGCGCCACCCTGTATATTAGATTTTATTAATAACAAAATAACAACAAACGCTTACCGTTGGCGCGAATCGTCCTCTCCACAACCACTTGACGATTTCTCGTCTCGAACGCCTGCTGCCTCGTCTGCGGCGGCACCGACTCAATTCAGTTCCTTCCCAATCGTCGCAGGCCGTTTCACGTCTCCTTGCTCGTCTACAAGGCCCACAACGTGCTCGTCCTGCGGGACAATTCGTCATCGCGAAAGTGACACATGTCTACGAGTAGTACTTTCGACGGCGTTTTGAATCTCGTGTAGTGGTACTGTTTGTACGTGACGTCATGCTGCTACAAACGGAGCGCCAGAGCGCCACTGCTGCGAGTAGACCTCATAGCCACAGCCTTCAACACCAGGCTCATCCCCGACTCATGGACTCGCCTACACTCGCCAGAGTCGAGCGTGCGATGCTGAGACACGGAGAAGGGGATAATAGGGAAGGACAGGACGTGATCAGGGCTCGATATACCCAGGTTGGTAAATTAACTTCCAAGCCAAATTCCGGCCTTTAACTTTTTAAATCAAATAATAATAATAACAGTTCTTGTTATCAATTAGTTATACCTAGATATATTAACTGCACTAATATAATATGATAATAAAGACAAAGATTCAGAGATTGATACAGGCTAGGATAAATAGATGACATTTACCTTTCTTCAGTGGCGTAGCTATCATAGGTGCAAAGCTCCGGAGCCCCGCAGAGCCCTTCAAGAAAATATTTAATAAAAAAATATACATTATTTTGGTTTTGTTCTTTACTCAGGGGCCCCAAAAATATTTTGCACCGAGCCCCCAGTTGTCTAGTTACGCCACTGCTTTCATTATAAAATACCTATAAAATTCAATAAATCTGATATGGAATGGCGACAAAAACAAAAAAATCATATACCATATCGTTCGATTTTGCCATCCTTCCTCGTTAATAGCTCTATCTCTCATGTACTCCATCTAACCACGTAGTTGTATTTCTTCCTCTTTTCCTTCTGCTTTGGGACGATAATCCATTGCCCATTTTGGTCATATTTCCCCTCCCATTTTTTTACATGCCCATAGGTACCTACTATAGTACCTCAATCAATGCCTCCAGGATATATATTTTAAATAAGGTAGGTGATAAACTGCACCCCTGTCTAAGTCCTTTTGATGTCAGGAAGGATTATGATAGGATAACTTCCCTTGTCTGATCATACTTTTTGGATTGTTGTACATATTTATTATATATTATTGATTGCATTGATATATATTTTACTCATATTTGTCTCAACCAAGATTTCAAATAATTTCTTCAAAGGCACCGCGTCATAGGATTTCTCTAAATCTATAAATATCAGACGCGTGTCCGAATTTCGAGCTCTCCTTTTTTCAATTATTTGTTGTAACACAAATATGTTGTTTGTACAAGAACGCCCAGCGCGGAAACCACTTTGTTCTTCAATTTCTTCAAAACTTTCTTCTACTCCCTTTCTTAATATCCTGCCATCCAACTTTCCCATTGAGCTTGTCAAACTAATGTCTCTATAGCTGCATCTTTTTTGTCTCGTTTATTTTTTAGAAAGGAGACAAAATTTTAAAATACACTGTTTAAAAACAATTTTTCCTCAATATAAAAATGAATTACAACCGTCTTAAGGCCAATTGGCAATAAGCGTCATTAAAAAAAAGAGTGCAGGTAAAAGAAATGATGTCTGGGTCTTGACCTAGCCAAAATTTTATCGATTGTCATTCCCCAGCTATTTTGACCCCTTTTTTTCGATCGTATGGTAATACTTTGATGATGAATTATTTTTTTGCTTTTAGTTTTCTTGATTTTTTGCTAATATATTTTTTGTATCTTTCTAAAGGCGCATTCTCACGACTCGTCTACTTGGCAAGTATTTTTTATTGGTATACAGGGTCTGGCGGGAATGCCGCGTAGTTCCTATAATAAATAACTCAGAAATTCTGTATAGATGCCCGACGTACCATGTATACCCTGTATACCAATTACAAATGTTTGTCAAGTACACGAGTCGTGAGAACCCGTCATAATGTATTCAAAAAAATCAAAGTATAATCAACTGTGCTGTGTTTGATGACAGAAAAACAATTCTTATGAGTTTCATTCGTTTTTTTTAACTGTCAATGATGCTCAAACAAGATTAATTTTATAATGTATGGTATTGCATTTTATAATGCATATGGTATTTATTTTTTAATGCAATCTTTTAGATAAATAAATAATTGTATTTCAATAAAACGTATCTATTGCTTTTAATCTATTGATATTATACTATTAGGTTAAGTTAGGTTGCTGGGGTTTAGGATCATGTTTCATCTCTCACTCGGAGACCTTGGCCCTTCCTCTCATTTTTTCTGTGCGTTAAAGCCAAGTTAAATCACTTCCAGCTTGGAAAGTTCCCGATGTTACTGATGTTGGCTTTTGCTGCTTCCTCTAGTTCCTCCAAAAAAGCGTGCCCTGAAGTTTTAAAGGGTCAGTATGCCAATGCTGGTATTATACTATTAATTATTATTATTTTTAGAACAAATAATTCGTTTTTTGTCTTAACAGATCCTTCAAATTCAAATATAATATGTCTATTAAATATATTGCTATAAAAAATCAAATAATTCAGTTTATTCTAAAGAATCAAAACTTTATGTCAAAATAATTATTATTTAGCGATAAAAATTTCTAAACCAATAATTGCTTCATTTTATTTTTTTTTAGTGTAGATCATAATGGGTGTAAGCTTACACTGAAAAAACTACTTATAAAATTTGTGAAAGATTTGACCCTCAAATTTGCTTGCTCTTCTGAGCATAGCAAAGAAGAAACTATTTATATTTTTTATTAATGAAATTTAACTTATTTGATTTGAGGAGTGTTATAAAATGGTTCATCAAATATTTACTATAAATATTTTGATTGCGGTTTTGATAACTGCCTTGCTAAAAACAATTTAGGTTGAATAAACAATTGAGGAATGATGGTAATTACTATTAGGTACTAGATCTAAAAATTTTTAATATAATACATATATTAATATAACAGACGACAAAATAAACAAAAAAGAAAAGAAAATACTACCAAATTGAATGTTTTCATTTCAATGAAATAAATTTAGTTTAATAATTTAATTTATTACTAAAGTGACTGAATGTTGATAGGGAATCAACATTCTTCTATTTGTTTTGGAGTCAATTCAGTCAACATCAATGCTACAAAATAAGTAGAAATATTGAAACAATCTAATAGCATTTTGAAATTTAACCAGTATTGCACAAAAACTATTAGGTAATTGGTTAATAAACAATTTCTAAAAATATCTTTCTCTTAAAACTCTAATATGGTGTATCCACCCTTATCCATGCATGCCTGCAATTAATGATTGCTAATTCCTTTTTGATTTACTTGTGGATTTTACTGAAGTTTGTGGCTATTAGTTAAACAAATAAATACAAATACTTAGTTTCTTGACTGTTTAGCTTAGTTACATTAGCAGCTTGTTTGAAGTTGGCACCCTTCTTTCGAAAAGTTAACTAAAAATTGAGAGTTCTGAATTGATTTACAATAATTCTATAGTTGGTTTGGTTGCTAACCAAGTTCATTTTTCCTTTTTTTATGTTATCATTCAATATTATTCTTCTATCGCAAAGTATCTTTGTAGAGTCTGACGTTTTAAAAGAAAATTGTAGTTGTTAATATTTTTAACGAATTTAAAAATTAATAAATTAAAAATTTATGATTAAAATTAACGCATCTTGTAAAATCTTTGGGGAGCTATCTCTAATCAGAACTACTATTCAACAATATTTTTCGCTTTTAGATAGATACATCTTAATTTTATCCATCTATAGATTCGTACGTTAATGAAAATTTAAAAAATGGGTGAATTAATTCATACATCTTATTGAACTTTTGAGGGTGCTATTCAGAGCTCTCGTCGGAATAATTATTTCAGTAATTATTTTTTATTTAGAAATTTTATTCTTATTGCCTAGGCTGACCCTTTATTTTTGTTTATAACATTGTTAATACAATATAAACATCTTAATCAATCGTCAGGAACTATAGAACTCTTCTTCTACGATATATTTTTAAGTTTTACCAGAACTGTGCAAGATGTTTCTCGAAATTCACCAGAATTATTTATCAAACTTGTACTAAAAACTACCGGGTGCCTCTCAAAAGCGGCTCACATCTATCACTTTTTTATTTTGTCAGATAACAAAACGACATTTGGTATGTTAGTATATGACATAAATTAGGATTGATTGAGGTGTTCAATTGTGTCATTTAAAATCAACAACTTTTGATTTTTAATTGACACTCTCGGTATTTTTTTACTTTATTCGATAGAATATGACACTCTGAATAACATATCATATGTCAAATGTTGACATTATCGCATATGGTTTATTTGAAATTTTAACATGCGGTTCATAACGACAATTTGACTCGAAGTACCAAGTGTGTGGTACCAAATTATTTGTAAAAAAATGCTCTTTCCAAATATTCTAATATGATTAAATTTACATATGATTAAAAATACGATTTGGGCATCTTTTAACCAGCCAGGACACATGAAACGCTCGAAACACACAAAAAACACGAAAAACATTAGACGGTCAAATCTATTTTTCAAAGGCTCCTGGATTAAAAATTAGTATTTTAATACGGCCATGGCACTCTAGATTAAAATTTAAAATACGATTTGTTATCGAGCGAAAATGTCAAAAGTTGACATGATATGTCATTCTATTCAGAGTGTCAGTTTCTATCGAATAAAGTAAATATAATAAACTCATCGGCAAAAGTCTTGCTCCCCCTTACTATTTTAATAAAAAAATTACATTTTAAACTAATTTTTCGTGGAAATCAATAGATGCTAAAGTTATGTTAAAAAATAACACAAAAAAGGGAAAACTTTCACCAAGTTTAATAATATATTTTGCCAAAATACAAAAAAATGCAAAGTCCATAGAGAAAAATGTTTGACAAAAAAGAGAAAATAAATAAATAAATAATAAATTCTGACAAAATTAAGGTTACTAATATAAAGTATTGCCTCCTCGATTTGTTATGTGAATAAAGTAAATATAATAAACTCATCGGCAAAAGTCTTGCTCCCCATTATTTCAAACTAATTTTTCGTGGAAATCAATAGATGCTAAAGTTATGTTAAAAAATAACACAAAAAAAGGAAAAACTTTCACCAAGTTTAATAATATATTTTGCCAAAATACAAAAAAATGCAAAGTCCATAGAGAAAAATGTTTGACAAAAAAGAGAAAATAAATAAATAAATAATAAATTCTGACAAAATTAAGGTTACTAATATAAAGTATTGCCTCCTCGATTTGTTATGTGAATAAAGTAAATATAATAAACTCATCGGCAAAAGTCTTGCTCCCCCTTACTATTTTAATAAAAAAATTACATTTCAAACTAATTTTTCGTGGAAATCAATAGATGCTAAAGTTATGTTAA